CATTTCTTAGCAGTAACTGGTTGTAATCAATAAATAGTTATTGGGTGAATTAAATAATCCATGAGGTAGAGATGTCCACCAGGAAGAATATAATTTTTTCTTGTTAGACAATTATCCTGTATGAAATCAATAGGAACCTCACCAAGGCAGCAATAAAAACGTCCCTGTCATTGATTAGAGATGGCTTAGAGATGCCTAGTATTAGAGATGTCTTCCAGTAACAATCATGTAACTTCCCAGCAGTTGATCAAATGGAGGCAAGGGGAAATGTTCCTGAGTCACATTGCATTCCAATTCTGGGAACATTTCTTAACTACTCCAACATAATTCCTTTAATTTCACTTGTACGTTTTTTAATGAAACAGTTTGCCATGTTCTTTCGGTAATAGACACTCATATTTCATGCTTTCTATAGCTTCAAGGGTATCTTCCGCACTTAAGTGTTGCATTGTCAAAGAAGGAGGGAATTAACAAAGAGTGTAAAACCTATGTTATTGCAGATTCTGAATGTCTTGATACTGTAGACCTATTGCAGTGTTTTTCAAAGCATATGGCGTGTAAATAATGCAGGCAAGGATGATATCATTTAAAAGAGTATTGTTTTTTTGCTGTTCTTCCTCTGATAATTTGAAACTTAGTGGTCCTGTTCGCATTACAATTAATTGAGATCCTCCAGAGATTAGATTGTATATGCAAAATGAGATTAAAATGAACTACTTGAAATTGTCTATTTTAATAATTAATTACTAAATCCCATGTCACCTCTTATTTTCTCCTCTTGTCAGTTGCTATGGATATATAAAGAATTGTCATTGTGAAAGATTGTGAGTTCCCAATCAATGAACTGAGAAAATAAATTCAAGCCCAGTGCTTTAGCCACTTGTGCCCCATTTTATCCACTGGGCTGAATAAGCGTAAGCACTGACTAGTGCTGAGGTGCAATTTCATGAATCTTGGTCACTCCTCACCACATTCTTAATGTCATAATGTCTTAATACAAGGTTATTTAGAACTAAAGTCAGGAAGCATTTTTTTTCACGTGAAGATGTGCTATAAGAACATAAGAATTAGGAGCAGGAGTATGTCATTCGGCCCCTCGAGCCTGCCCCTATACTTTTCCCCAGAAACATGAAGAGGTGGAATCAATAAGGATGTTTTAAAGAGAGATGGACAGGCACTTGGCTAGTGAAGGCATTAAGGGGTATGGGGATTAAAAGATCCGCCAAGATCTAATAAATTGGTGGAACCGGTTTGCTGGGCTGAATGGCTTCCTTCTGTTCTTGTGTTCCTAATGATCGTTTGCAAGCTGGTTAACCATAGGAAACATTACAGCTGAGGCCAGACTGTCCTTACTTAATGCATTCACAGATGCATGTACATATTCCAGAGGGAAGAGGAGGGTCACTTTGAAAGTGATCAGGAATAAGAGCCATGGTTAATATTTCCCTCCCTTGCCCATGCAGGATGCAAACTTTTCTCATCTCTAAGCCTAATTGTGCATAACCATGGAATTTACCAAATAAACCATCAGGGAAGCTATCTCTCCCCTTTTTAAATTGAATTTCAATATTTTCCCCTCCAGAGAAGAGAGATTGTTCCAGTATAAAATTGGATCACTTAGTGTCACAATTAGCTCCCAGTGCTGAAAAGTAGTTCAATAAAGAAGTGGCATTGGATTACTCAAAACATTCACAGCTGTTGCACAACATTTAACAATAATGTTACATTAAAAAAGATATACCTGAGAAACGTAACATTCTAATCATTTCAATAGTTTTCTTGTTTAACCCAATGAAGCTGTTTGTAAATTATTAATTTTTAGCTCTAGCATCATTTCACAAAACGTTGGCAAGCCATCATTGATGTGTTCTTTACCTCTTTACGTTTGTGATTTAACAAGATACATCAACTATAATTATTCTAAATGTACTTATAGCTTTCAGCTAATGGTTAATATTTCAGCCCTTACTCATTGTGGACAGCTGCCGATTATTTAAAATTATTATTTAACTGATTAAATTGTGCAATTTCCATGAAAAAAACTGAAGACATGGCTGGAGCTTAATACTGAAACAATATTACCCTGAGGGGATAGAGGCAAATAGAGTCTCTTTAAGGCTGAGCTAGCCCCTATGTTCCCATGGAGAAATACATGGTTTTATTAAATTAAGCAATACTGCAAAGCACCCTCATCCTGGGGTCACCAAGCCTTGGCACTTGTCAACCTCCTCCTCTTCAGGATTAGGCAACAAATGTGCATCCATCTGGGGAGAGAGTGCCATCTCATACAACAACAACTTGCATTTATATTGCACCCTTCACACCATATGGCATCTCAGAGCAGCTCCAGACAAGACATATAGAAAATGTACATAGTTTGGTTTGGAGACTCCTAAGCATTTTTTTGGAAAATATATATTTATTTGTAAATATAATATTTGGTACAACAGAAATTCAAAACAAACACATCTTCTGCTACAATTTTTTCCATTTCTCCCAATACAAAAAACATTCCGTTGTTTACGGTACATTCTTTCACCCCACGTAGGTTATGCACATGTTTTTTGGAACGTGGAGACTCTTCAGCATGGTGATGAGTTTCTGCATGTGTCAGACACCTGTTGGACCAAAAACAAGTACACTGAAGAACCCTATGGTATCAAGACTCACCCTATAGTTACTGTCAGTTTGGAAGTTCATTTGGATTTTGTGTGATAATCTAGCCCCTGAATGAATGATAGGCATTTCACTGGGCTCAAATATAATGGTACTAAACAACTTGTTATGTATTTAATGTTCATTAAATAACATTATCACATTGACTGCTAGAACTCAATGCATCACTATTAATACCCAGGCACATACAATGCATATTGTGGCTGTCAAATGTGTCTACACATCTGCATTGGTGTTCCAGCTTTCAAAGTAAGATAACCTGAGTACACAGAGATATTTATTTACTGTTGCATTGTCCAGCATCCTGAAGGGACAGGTGCACATTGGGAGCTAACTACAGAGTGCTTCTGGGGTGTTTTGTCAGCTCTAGCTGTAACACTGGAAGCAGCACAACACACTATTATTAGACTACAGTACGAGTTTGGCATATACTAGCAGCACAGCCAGAACAGATTAGATGGCTGTGGATGAAGGTTTTCATGTTGAATTTATTTACTAAAATTACCATTATATACAAGAAACATCCAGGTGATGTAATTTGCTCAAGAGCTAAGAACCAAAAATCGACTCTGAGATGAGATTGAAACATATCCACTTTAACGTCGTCGTTTTAGTGGAAACACGTAATATAAAAATGTGTAAATGAAGAGGGGGAAATATGTCAGTAGAATCTGGGCAAAAGTATCATTCACACACGTATATTTGTGAACCCACGCTTTGCAGCAGTGAAAGGTAGTCCCTATGTTTGTATGCACTTGATCAGACAATTTTAGAGACAAATGATTTGTAATGCTCATGGTGGAAATCTGTAATCACGAGAAAGGTTTGGATGAAAAGGACTCTTTCATCTTAATTATTTTATCTTAACTATTCAGAATACCTACAAAGCATCACGTTCCTTTTTTTTTAATGAGTCCTTGGAAATATTACGTTATAAAGACCATGGTAGAATGGGTTAGTTACTGAAGTGTTCCTGTTATGCCTGAATTCCTGAATGGCTTTTCATTGGTCGTTTTATAGAAATGATACTCATACTTCTGTAGTGTGGGCAGAAAAGGTGAGAGTTGACTGATTGGTGGATCGTTTTCTTTTCATTTTAACTGAAATTGTGCATGAATCATGTTTAGATACTGAATGGGTCTGACGACACAACAATACTTACAAAGGAAATGTCCAATTAAAATCCAAATCCATTTCAAATGGTGCAGTACCGATTTTAGTAACCAACCGTTTTTAATGTTCTGTATTCAATTGCAACTTACTTTTCCTGTTATATGAATTGGCCGATCTCTGGTTCATATTCTGTGTTACTTATTATGCTTCCAGAATGTTGATTATGTGCCTTTTAGAAGCAGTAAAATGCATTGAAGATTAAGAACAAATCCCATTTTGTACATGAATTATTTTGTCACCACATTATTACTTCAAAAAGAAATTCACGGTTATAAAGATATTTACAAAATGCACAATGAGACTGGGTTAGTATAGCCTATCCCATTTGTTTTGGTCATTACCTTAGATTCAAATTAAAATCCTTGGAATTTGAGATACACACTTGAATTTAGAGCCAATTCAAGGTACACTTTACCCAGGAATATAAAAACAACTTACATTTGTAAATTTGCCCTTCACGTCGGGAGCAAGTTCGAAGGCGCTGGATAGTCAACTTTGGACCCCAGCAGGGAGTTGGGATCAGGAGAGGTGGAGGGCAGGGAGGGCAAGGGTAGAAGAGTGCCTAAAGCTGTGGTCAAATAGGAGGGTCTTGAGACTTGGTTTGAAGAAGGTAAGGGAAGGAGCAAAGGACTGTGGGATGGAGTTTCAAAGGATAAGGGCTGAAGGTCCGACCACTGATGGTGGTTGGGCCGGGCAGGGGATATGGAGCACACAGCCTGCTGAGCAGAGGATTGGAGCAGTGGAGCCAGGTGAGGGTGAGAGTGATAGGATCACAGAGCCTGGTGCAGTGGAGGACACAAGCTGCAGAGTTCTAGATGTTCTGCACCTTATGGAGGGAAGAGTTGGAAACACCCACATGCAAGGAGTTAGCATAGTCGAGCCTAGATGTTGATACATCTAGGCGTAGTCAAGTATAGATGTAACTTTGAAATAATATCTCAAGAAATATTAGATAATGCAATCTTCATTTCTAATAAATTTCGGTTCTAATGAAGGGTTTCCATTGAAGTAATGTTCACGCTAGATTGTACTTATAATTTGTTTGAAGAACTTTACAGTGTAATAAAAGCAAAAATCAGAAATATCATTCAAACCACTGTTTTCACAACAATATTCAAGCAAACTTTAATACTTTAAATGTGCACTTCCAGGTTACACCAAGTGTATTTTGATGCACCCACCTGTGAAGGAAAAAAACAGGAGCGGCTGTTTCTGATAGGAGACTACTCTTCATCCGCAGAGTTCTTCGTCACCGTTGCAGTCTTTGCATTTCTTTACTCTCTGGCAGCTACCGTGGTTTATATTTTCTTCCAGAACAAATATCGTGAAAACAACAGAGGACCTCTAATTGTAAGTGAATGCGCACCTCTGCTGTTTAAAAAAACGTCTTATTCTTTCTTCCATTATAATATGCTGAGTTTATTCAGTCTATTTTAGCTCCTCAGAAATCATTCAAAGTGTTTAGCAAACACAACAGAATCACAATAAAGCAAATGCCTTGAATGAGATCTCTCATCCGTGGTTTCAGAAGATTTTGGTTAATTCCATGGACCCTTGGGAATATTTTTAAATTTTGAAATAATATCTCAAGAAATTTTAGATAATGATGGCAGTCAAATGTGTTAGTTAATTTGAACATCAAGAACATAAGAAATGCTAGACGAAAAAAGACTCAAGGTCCATCTAGTTCGCCTTCCACCTTCCTGGCGGTCGCATGCACGTATGTCCCAAACTACCTATGTACCATAATATTATTTCCTAAAAGAAAACTATCTCATCTGTGTTTAAAAGAATCACACTTCCTGCTTCAACTGTCTCCCTAGAGAGCCTGTTCCACAGATTTATTATTTGCTCACTGCAATAGTATTTGCATAGTTTTGTTCTGAATTTACCCCCCTTCAATCGCAGGCCGTGTCTTCTGGTTCTACTATTCTGGATAAGTTGAAACAGCCATGATCTATATATATCTACATATATCCACAAATATACAGTCAATTCACTTTACAGTATATTCTGCGAAGCACTTTGAGACGTCTAGAAGATGTGAAAAGCACTATGTCAAATGCAAAGATTTTTATTATATTCATATATTGTCTTGCCCCTTTAGAATCTTAAAGACAGCAATCATGTCTCAATCTTCTCTTTTCCAGCGTGAACGTGCCCAATTTACTTAGTTGCTCCTCATAGTCCAGTCCTTCCATTCCCTCAATCATTTTGGTTGCCCTCCTCTGTGTCTTCTAAATTTCTCCAATATTCTTTTTGTACGGCGGCGACCAGAACTGTACACAGTATCTAAGTATGGTCTCACCGATGATGTATACAGTGACAGAATTACCCCACTATTTTGGCTTGCTATTGATCTTTTGACACATCCCAACATCTGGTTTGCTTCACTCACTACCACAGAGCATTGTTGGGAGAGCTTCAATTTACTGTCAATCAGGAACCCCAGGTCCTTTTCATTTTCCATACATATTATTTTCCTTCTGTTCAAATAATAGTCCCTTCCAGGATTTTTTATCCCCATGTGAAGTACTTTACATTTCTCCAAATTGAATTTCATCTGCCACCGATCTGCCCAATTCTCAAGTATGTTCAGATCCTCTTGTGACCTATCTTATTCAGCTTCACAATCTACCATTTTAATTTGGTCAGTAATTCATTAGGAGCAGGAGTTAAACTCTGGCTAACCAATGATTGTTTTGTTGTATAGGAGATACCAAACAATAACTTGCATTTATACAGTGCCATTTATGCAAGATAATGCCTCAGAGTGCTTCACAGTGATATACTTGGATGCCAAGCAAGGAAACAGACACTCAGAGTTAATGTATTATTCTCATTCTTGTTGTCTTATAATTTGTTTCTTTCCTAAAGAATTCCTCAATTAAACTGGACAATAGAATCATAGAATCATAGAATCGTACAGCACAAAAAGAGGCCATTCGGCCCATCGAGTCTGTGCCGGCTCTTTGATTAGAGCAATTAATGTCAATCCCACTCCCCAGCCCTTTCCCCGTAACCCTGCAAACCCGTCCTCCTCAAATACCCATTCACCGTGTTTTTAAAAGTAGTTATTGAATCGGCCTCGACCACCCTTTCAGGCAATGCGTTCCAGATTTGAACAACTCGTGGCGTGAAAAAATTTCTTCTCACCTCCCCTCTGCTTCTTTTAGAGACTATTTTGAATCTGTGATCTCGAGTCACCGACACACCCACCAGTGGAAACAGTTTTTTCCTTTCTAACCTATCAAATCCCCTCATGATTTTGAAGACCTCTATTAGGTCTCTTTGTAACCGTCTCTGCTCCAATGAGAAAAATCCTATCCTCTCGAGCCTTTCCTCATAATCAAGGTCCCTCATTCCTGGTACCATCCTCGTAAATCTCCTCTGCACCCTTTCCAATGCCTTAACATCCTTCCTATAGTGTGGTGCCCAGAACTGGGCGCAGTATTCTAACTGAGGCCTAACCAGTGTTTTATATAGGTTAATCATAACCTCCTGACTCTTGTACTCTATGCCCCTATTTATAAAGCCTAGTATCCCATATGCCCTTTTTACAGCTTTATCTACCTGTCCTGCCACCTTCAAGGATTCATTTACCTGAACCCACAGGTCTGTCTGTTCCTTCACCCCCCTTAAGATTGTATTACCAGCCTATATTGCCGCCCCTCATTCTTTCTACCAAAATGCATTACCTCTCATTTTTCCACATTGAAACTCATCTGCCATGTGTCTGCCCATTTTACCATTCTGTCTATGTCTTCCTGCAGTTGGCTCCTATCCTTCTCACTGTTTACTATCCTACCTAACTTTGTGTCGTCCGCAATCTTGGAAATGATACTTGCTATACCCAAGTCCAGATCATTTATGTATATTAAGAAGAGCAGTGGTCCTAATACCAATCCCTGGGGAACACCACTGTACACTTCCTTCCAGTCAGAAAAGCAGCCGTTCACCACAACTCTCTGCTTTCTGTCTCCCGGCCAGTTCTGGATCCATGCTGCCACTCTCCCTTTTATACTATGGGCTTCTATCTTTCTTACAAGTCTTTCATGTGGCACTTTGTCAAATGCCTTTTGAAAGTCCATATAAACAAGCATCACTAAGTGCCTCAAAAGACCATAACAATCCACAGGAATATATATATATATACACACGGGAGAGGCCATTCAGCCTATCAAGCTTGTTCTTCCAGGTTATTACATTTTGATGGATTCTTTAGTCCCACTTCCCAGGCCTTTCACCATAGCCCTTAGTACTTCTGCTACCCAAGCATTTGTTTATGTCTCTCTTTTAAATATTCTTTATAACATTCTGTGGCAGCACATTATGAAATGGTGCCACATCTCCACAATCCTTTATGTAAAGACGTGCTTCCTGACCTCAGTTCTAACCATCATAGTCCTGATCTTAAGGCTTTGCCCCCTTATGAAGGGAAGCAACGCCGACAATTTAACATGCCAATCCCTTTTATTATTTTAACCACCTCCTTTCTGTTATTTTGTTTCAAAACCTGGTTCATGAACAACAACTAAGCAGTGAATATATGCAGAATAAGTCCACATCAGATATTGTGTGGAGCAATGGTAATGTTCTCATTGAGATGATGCCACTTAAATTATGCAGCGTTAACATATAATTTCAGTATGTGACAGAAGTTAAAAATAATTACATAGGACAGTCCTAAACCTCTTGTAATCAGTAGTTCTGGGTGGCATTCTCTGTGCCAGCAGCTGCCGAAACTGCAGTGATAGGATTATAATTATGAAAAAAATAACATTGCAGAATGTGAAGCAAAGTAAGAATTCTTTCTAACGCTTGTCACTTATTGTATATATAATTATTCCGAGTTTATGCTAATTTCTTTATAACTTCTTTCTTTCTAGTAAGTTTGTACCTTTTTTTATTTCCTTTCTTATTCATAGTTACAAGAGTGAGAGAAGAGTTTGGGAGATTTTTTTTAAAAAACATGAGATGTCGGGATGTGGAATGCTCTACCAAGTAAGGTGGTAGAGGCAGAGTCCATTGTAGGTTTCAAGAGGAAAGTGAACAGATATATAAAAGGCAGAGGCTTGAAAGAGAATGGGGATTGGGCGGGGCAGTGGGATGAGAGCCCGTGCAGATGTGATGAGCTGAATGGCCTCCTTCTACACTGTGGATTTCTAGGATTCTATGATTCTATGCTGAGGGAAGGAATGAACCAATTTGGCTGTGTTTTCAGTGTAGAAAACTATCAGTCCATTAGATTGATAAATAAAGATTTTGGAGTTACTCTAAAGCAAAACAAATAAAATTAATTGGGAAACAGAATGAAATTGTTTGGAAGATCTTTTTCTATTGGCCTAATTTTTAAGCCAGTATCTGGATTGAATCTCCACTTGCTCACTTAACAAGCCCACAGAGTCAGTGTTAAATGTGCAGAGCCTGTGAGTAAAACCATTCACTGCATGTGGGGAGTAAAGGCATGTTTCAATTTTAATCCTATTTTCTGTCCATTACATCATATACCGACTGCATTTCTCCTCTCCCACTATTTTTACAATAATAAACCTTGCATTGATATAGAATTTTTTATGTCTCAAAAAGTTTCACAGGATGTTTTCTGTTAAGTGTAGTAATTGTGTATTTTGTAGGCGAATGCAGCAGCCAATTTGCACTCAGCAATGTCGCACAAACAGCCATGAAGAGAATGAACAATTTTATCTGGGGGGATTATTGGCCAGGACACCAGCAGAAACTCCCTTCTCTTCTTAAACTGTGCCTTGGGATCTTTAATATCTATCTGATCTTTACTATCCACCAGGCAGATGGGACCTTGGTTTAGCATCCCATCTGAACGACAGATTTCACATTTTTAGCTTGTGTTGTTCCCCAAATCATCTTGTTTTATTTTCAGTGCTCAAAAAGAAACCAATTCTTTATTATTTAATTTAACAGAAAGAAACATTTTCTATGTTGGTTTCTCCCCATGTACTACTTAACATTTCTGAAGGTAAGCAGAGATGCAAACAATTCTCAAAGCTTTGCAAAATGTTTGCAGTCTTCAAACTGGAGATGTGCAAAAGCTGTGACTCACCTTCTGATTCATTTTCTTTTCCTCCCTCTGGGGTATTGCCTTGCCTTTCAGCCCGTGACTCCCCGCATCATGTAGCTGAAACTTGGGATTTGCTAATGGGGAAGAACGCATGTCAAATAATTTTGGAGCTCACCTTATCCGAGGGCCAGTGCCTTTAGAAGATTGTCTCTGACTGTTTTTTGAATAAGCATCTCTCCTGCCTTGGCTCTTTGAGACATCAGATTTATAAAGTGCTGGTCCCAGGATAAATTATACAGATAGTGCATTTATT